TGTGTGTGTGTGTGTGTGTGTCTCACCAGGTCTTTCTGTTCGTTAGCTATCCTGTGCTCCTCCTCCATCTGATCACTCAGCTCGTTGATTCTTCTCTCCAGTTTACCGATGGTGTTTGTCAGAACAGCTTTGTTCCTGCATCAAAACACACAAACATTACACATCGACTGGATTATTTATATTATCTAACACCAGTTCCAGTGTTTGTTCAAAGCTCCGGTGAATATCAAAGACTTACTAACTCAACTTTATCCTGTTATTTATATAATTATCATTCACCTTCTTCGATATTTCGTTATTTGTATTTTTTAATATTCATGTGGCTTTTTTTTCTCCTTTAAATGTTTTTTATTTTATCTTATCTTTATTCCAAATAAACTAAACTGAAACTAAACCAGACAATAAGAAAATCTTTTTTATCCAGAGGAAATCAGCGGGACCACGTGACCGACCTCTCCTCCGTCCTCAGCAAGTTCTCCAGCTCTTTGGCTCGACTCTCCGCTCTGGAGACGACGTCGTCCGGAACCCTGGAGCTCTGCAGCTCGTCCACCTCCAGACGCAGCTCACGCAGCTGCACATGGAGAGAGACTCAAGTTACAGACGGACGACTACGTACAAGCTTTCTGCTCGATCCAATGAACATTCATATAATCAAGAGCTTTTCAGGCCAAAGTTCACTTCAATTATGTTTTTAGTGTGGAAATATAGTGAAACACACACACACACACACACACACAGTACCTGTCTCTCCATGACGACCTTATCAGTTTCCAGTTGGTCGTTCAGATCTTTCTCCTGAATCACTTTCAGCTGCAGCTGCTCCGTCTGATCAGAAACAAGAAATGAGTCAACGACCGACAAAGACACGAACATCATTTCATTTGAAGTCTGTCGGTTTCGTCACCTGTTCGATGGCCCTCTTGTGTTTGGCCGCCCATCTCTTCTCGCTGTCTTGCAGCTCCTCCAGCTCGCTCTCCATGTCGATCATCTTCTCCTGAGAGAAAACAGAAATCAAATGGAGTCGTTCAAACAAACTTCTGGTCTGAGGTCAGGTTATTCAGAGCTGGGGCGGATTGTGATGAATATTTGGAATTATGGAATTAGCACTGAACGATGATTTGCATAATTGTTGCTCCATTAATCCCAAAGTCTGAAGTTTTTCATGTGTTTGAATCATGAGCTCGTTAAGACACTGCGGAGAGTCAACGATGAAACAAGTTTATGTCTTTTAATCAGTTATTTGATGATTTCTGACTCCACATATATTTCGGATTTATTTTTGTACCATAGAAGGAAGCGGGGACGTTTTCCATCTTATTTCAATGAGCTGTTTTTAACGATGTCCATGTGGAGTAAGAACCACCGAGTGTTTGTACCTGAGCCTGTTTGAGTTGTTTGGCCAGATCGTCTCTGGTCTGGTTTGTCCCCTGCAGCTCCATGTGGAGGTCCTCCACCGTCCTCTCCGCCTGTTTACACTGCAGCTGTATCCGCTCCCTCAGCTGGATCTCCTCCTCCAGGGTTCGCTCCTTATCGATCAGCTTCCCAGACACCTGCACAGGACAAACACACATCTCACAGCTGCTGCCGCACCGAAGGTCTCGTTTACACAACCAAGCAGCCAGAACACGTGAAACCCTATTTTGACATGTTTCATGTGTCACATCTCAAAGTGCCGCTGGGGCTGATGGGAGTTGGGTCTACCTCTCCCTGAAGACGGCTGACGAGGTTCTCCAGTCGCTGCAGCTCCTGGTCCTTCTCCAGCAGAGTCTCCTCCAGCTCCTCCACCCTCATATGGGCGTCGTCACGCAGCTTCTGGTGCAGGTTCACCTCGGCTGAGGCCTGCGACGACACCAGCAGGGCCTCGCTCAGCTGCAAACACACGGGACGTTACACATGTTGTATGTGCTCATCTGAGCGCTGGATCCAGGGAGCATGTGGTGAAGTTTGAAATAATGATTGAATGTTTTCAAAGTAATTCAAATTGCTCAGCAAATGAAAAATTAAACTTTAATCATTTTCAACTTTGCATCTGTTTCTTTATTCAAAGCAACACTATGCAACTTTCACTGGGCAACAGCGCCCTCTGCAGCCACATGTGGGGATTACTTCTGTTCCACGCCGAGGAAAACAAATCAACATGGAGACGAGAAAGGAAAAGACAGAAGTTTAAATAGGACGTCGTCACTTTACCTCCGTCTCCAGTCTGAGGAGGTTGCTGTTGAGCTCAGACGTCCTCTTGTCTTTCGAGTCCTTGTCCACCTCCAGCTCCTCCAGTTGTCTCTCGGCCGACCACAACTTCTCCGCCAGAGACTTGGCGTGCTGCGTCTGCTTCTCCAGGTTCTCCTGAACATACAACACACACGTATGACACACACGTGTAAACCATGTTCAGAGTTCTGCTTCTTAAGACAACTTGACTGAAACTCTACCTCAGCGTCCTGGATCCTGTTTTTGAGCGACTGCTGGAGGAAGTTGAAGGCGTACTCCTGAGTGTTGGCCTCCACCATCATGTCCCGCGCCTCCCGCACCTCAATCTGCACACGACAAGAGTTCATCATCCACGTGTTGAACAGCGTCACAGCGACAGTATCATGACGTCACCTTCTTACCTCCATCTCTCTGTACTTCTCCCCCATCGACTGGGTCTCTCTCTCCATCTCTAGCATCTGCTCCCTCATCCTCTTCATCTCATTGGTCAGCTGAGCGTTGGCGCGGATCACATCCTCGTTGTTCACCAGGAGGCCGCGCATCTCGAACCTTCACAGAGAAACAGACGTTTGAAAGTTTGAAAGGCGAGAGAAAGATCTGCAGCAGCGAGACAAGATCCTACAAATAACACAAGAAGTAGTAAAAATAAAAATATCAATTAACAATATCGAGCAGCAAAGTTCTGTAAAGATCAAAATGAAAAAGTGAAGACAAACAAAATTAGAGCCAGTGGTGGTGAGGTCACACCCCAAGTTTATAAGAAAGGACACTGTTAAGAAAGTAAGAACGAAAGAAACAAATGAAGGAAAGAAAGTAAGAGACAAATTAAAGAAAGAAAGAAAGAAAGAAAGAAAGAGACAAATTATAGAAAGAAAGAGACAAATTAAGGAAAGAAAGAAAGAAAGAGACAAATTAAGAAAAGAAAGAAAGAAAGAAAGAGACAAATTAAAGAAAGAAAGAAAGAAAGAGACAAATTAAAGAAAGAAAGAAAGA